TAACGGATGGCTTTGAGGCCGTCAGCATGTGGGATGGAAGTGTAAAGGGAGCTGACATCTATGAGGAGGAATCTTAAAAGAGAACAAGCTTTCAAGAAAAAAACGAAATCTAGCAATGATGAGAGGCCCAAATTGATATTAACCTTACACCCTCACAATGTGAAAGCAAAAAACATCTTTCTCAAAAACCTGAACATTCTCCTAGCCGATGAACATGCTCGCGACGTCTTTTCATCCCCACCTCTTGTACTATTCAGGCGAGACCAAAACCTACAAGACATATTAGTACACACTAAACTCCACAACATTTCAAGTGAACCTGGCACTTGGCCATGTAAGCGACCTAATTGTCAGACCTGCAAACACACACTCGCCACCCCCACCATAACCTGTCCTAAAATGACCATCAAGATCAGTGGCAAATTTAACTGTAATAGTAGAGGAGTCAAGGAGTGGCCCAAACGTCCTTTGTTTTACTTGGTCCGGCAGGGTTACATATATGCATGTTTTTCATATTTTCTATACAGTCGTTTACCCCTGCAGCAGTAACTCTTTGTTTTTTGAGTCATAGTTGACATAGTATTTAAATCACCAAGAAGTTTATGATTATATCTATCTCTTGTACCCTAAATACATATATTAGAAATATGAACAAAGAAGCGTATCTTTTTGAAAATCATCAATTTCTCTTGTAAAATGTCTGTCCACAACATTTTCTGTGCAACTTGTTAACTTCTAGCTGCATTTGCTAGGCAGTGAACTGAGGAACAATGTTCAGTAAATTGTGAATGTGGCTATTATTATTTAGTTCGTTTCTTTGAACATTGAGTAAATTCACAACTTTTCTATTAACTCTTTTATTTCCTTGACTATCTTCCACAGAGTGATACAATATCAATGTTGGAAAAAGACTTTGATTATAAAGATGAACATTTAGATTTTATTCAACAACATATTAGAAAGTTCTGTTTAAAGTGTATCCTTTTCCAATATTATATATAGTATATGTTTTTTTGTGTTTTTTTTGTGACACCTTTTGGTGGCTTTGTGAATAGTTCTCAAAGGTTGCTAGACTTCCTTAACTGTGTACCTCAGATGGTGCAGCCATGTTTTATACATCAGTAAAAGATGAACGCAATTGTGATTTGCTGTACAGATATTTGGTGCATAGGATTTATGGCTTTCCTTTCACATCCCCTGCTCTAGTGGTAGACAAAGATTCTGTCTTTGTGTAAGTGTTTTTGGGCATAGTGCTAACTCCTATATTAAACTGTCTAAACATTTACTTTATAAAGTTATAGTTTGAAATGCAAGTAGCCTAAAATAACTCATGTTAAACATATTACAGTCACATTCATTTATATTTACCTTGTGTGAGGTGAATTATAACATTTTCTGAAGTCTTTTTTTTTTTTTTTCAAACCACATACTAGGAATTTTATATTAGTTTCAGATCTTGTAATGCATACATTGAAAGTTAGCTCTTCTTTTCAGGCCATCTGGATGGGACAATGAGAAGAAAATTAGTATATTATATGACAATATGACCAGCATGAAACCAGATGATACTTTCGAAGACATCATTACCAAACCTTCTACGCGCAAGGTTTGTACACTGTCTTTAATATTTGTGTACACACTCAGGTTTGAAGGGCTTATGTTCAGATGTAATAGGCAGTAAGAAACAAATTTACTTCACAGAAAGGACAAGATAAAGCTTGTCAGATTTGGACCAATAATTCTAGATAATCAAAAATATCAGGTGAGTCTAAAGGCTTCTTAGAAAGGAATCGTTTGGATAGAAAGTTCTAGAAAAGTCCATTTGAGAAATTTTAGAAGAAAAAGATCAAGCTTGTTAATCAGTTAGTTTTGAGATTTCTTCATTGTCCCAATTCATACTTTGATATAAGGATATTATAATAATAATAATTTAACTTTTATGATGCTGCTAACAAACACTCAATGCGCTATGTGGACATAACAAACATTAACATGAGAGTAAAAATGGCAAAAAAAAATCTCAATAAGTTTTAATCAGGTAGGTCTTAATGTTCTTGAATTTAGTGAAGTATGTTGTTTGTCTGAGCTCAGTGGAGATCAAGTTCCAAATCTTTGAAAATGGCTGCAAATGTAACTTAAGAAGTTCAACACAAGTAGAAGCATTGAGTCCATTTGATGCAGCTCTCTCTGAGATACATATGGTTGTGAATTGTTATTGAGTATTAGTTATTACTTGATATTCTTTATGAATGAATCTGAGCTGCATTAAACAAGGTGAAAACAAAACCTTACTTCAATGTTTTCATTGTTGTACAAAGTTGTCTACTCTGGTACTGCAACAGGATCACCATTCAGTAAGACAGTATTTCATTGTTACATTAATAATTACATATTAATTTTGAAATGTTCCTTTTTAACCCCCACATATGTAAGTTGCTATGATCAGGCCTGTGATTTGTTAATCTGACAATCTATTATTATTTCTCCTTTTTCTAGGTTGTCCAGCGAGATGCTGAGGTTACTGCTGAAGATGATCAAGCTTTCCTCGCCAAGCAACAGCTACAATTATCTAAACAAACAGCAGCTCCAGGAACTGGAACCCCACCTCCTGCAGCTGCTGTATGTACCGTACCCATTGTCAAAATGTTGTTTTTTTTTAATTCAGCTTCAAAATTGATGTTGTCTTTATAATTTTTCGTTTTGTGTGTGTGTTACCAGCAAGAGTCACCAGTTCCTAGACTTCAGAGACCACAAGTACACAAAACTCCTGAGAGGTCTCCAGCACCTGCCAATGCTGGCACACCTGTGCGTGGAAAGGTAATAAATAGTTGTACTTCACAAGCATACCTGAAAAAAAAAGCAGCAAACTAATTTTGGGTATTCTTTAGAAGTGTGTGGCTGAAAAGTGCCAAATAATTTGTCAAGATGTGGAACATTCATCAATGAAATAATGATGATAGTTGGCTTCAGTAAATATTTCTTATTACATCTAAGTGAAACAATCACCCACTATTAAAACACTACATTAGAAACCACTTCTAATGAACACCTTGATCTGTACTCTTAGCTACTCTTTTATTTTATTTTTTAAATGTTTTAAAAAGATTAATTCCATTTTCTGACAGGATGGCAAACCACAGGCTGGGAACACGACAGAGGGAATGCTGGCAAACTTTTTCAACAGTCTTTTGAGCAAAACTCCTGGACAACCAGGGCCTAGTAAGTTGTTTTTGTTTTTAGTAGTGACAAAAATCTTGTCACCAGCCCTTGGAGTCTCTTAACTTTCACCATGTGGGAACATAAGTCATTTATTTCAATTCATTTCACTCAGTAGTTTAGTCGGGTTGACAGCGGGGTGTCTTGGCACTAACTTGTTATCTCATTCATCTCTCCAAAGATGTAGCATCAATGACAGGAGCCGAGCAGATTGGTATGATTTAATTTTATTGGCTAGACCTGTGTCTGTGTAAACGGACTGTATTGTGGCTATTTTTTTTTTCTTCCTGGGTTTCTTTTTTTCTTTTTTTTTTCAAAAATATACATTGAACTCCACACTAAAGCCTTAGTTATGTCACAGTTTTGTTATTTATTTAATGGAAGTACTTATGGTTACATACACACATTGAAACTTAAAGGAACAATTTTTATCATGAGTTTACACAGTCTCATTATCTATTTGAACACAAATAATTTGAGTTTGAACATTTGAAATAGCTATTATTTCACTTAGTTGCTTAACTATTTTTTATATTTTTTTTCATAATCTTTTGGATCCAAGAGTAGTCAGCTAAATGTCATTCATTTTTAAGTCATATTGAAAGCATTGTATTTAAAAAAAAAAAAAGTTAAAAAGCATTTATTTGAAATAGCTTTTGTTGAATAATCAGAAGTTAACTTCTAGTAAACGTAATGTTTCAAAGTGAATCATTTGTTAGCAAAAGTTGTAAAAATATGTTTAAGTATACATTTAATATGCATTATTATAAAGTTATTTTTTGTGTTATTTTATATTTTCCTAGTCTTTAGTGTAAGTGTCAAGTTACAGAATTTTAACTTGGGAAATAATCTTGGGTATTTCACTCTTTAAAATTAAAATGGCATTAAAAAAAAACAACACTCGTAACTCAAAATAATATTTCCATGATTGATATCCTTATGTGGGTAATCTTTACATATTTTTGAAATGGTTATGGCCTAGTTGAATGAATAGTTTCTATAAATTTAGTCTTTCAAAAAAAAATTTTCATTTGCTTGTTCATTAGATTGAACTATTTGAAAGTGACATTTGGGTATCTTTGAGAGTTCTTCTTTGACTTTTATATTGGTCCATATAGTAGAACCTCAACTTATTCTTCTGTTTTAGTTGCAGGATGGTGTTTGAATAATCTATACACTTCCTTTTGTTTTTATTTTATATTTTCTTTGTAAGTCAGTGTTATTAGCCAAAGTAAAATGGGATTTTTTTGGAAGGTCAACAATTACACACTGCAACTTTGATGGCCTAATAGATGTCAACTATTGTTTTTTTCACATTCTCAAAATTTAAAAGATTATGTAATGAAACCTGAAGCTGTCTTCAAAGTGGGGTTTAATTTAATCTTTGAGAACACTGACATCAATTATGTATCAATGGATTTACAACAGACCATCACAATCTCTCTTTTCAGACAAGGCTGCTGTATCTCGCGATGCGGCAGCAGAGTTGGAGAGAATGACGAAAGGAAAGAAGTCCATTGACACCAACAACACATCAACAGACTCTGCAGAACCCCAGTCTTGATGACTTTATCCATCTCATCTCTCTATTTTAGGTTCCAATTTTATCTAATATAAGTCAGTTATGAACCGTAATGCATTTTGATGTTGGTCCCAGCGCTGTTTTCCTTCACTCAGAGAGTATAGGTGATCTTCAATTTTTATTTTCTTTATTGCATAAAAAAAATTTTTTTTTAGAGCTCAAATTAATTAGTCAATTTTGTTATTGTCTTTCTATGAAAGCCATTTTTTTTTTTTTTTTTGTGCTGAAATATTTGAAAACAGTTGAAGCTTTTTACTGACTTTGCCCCTTCATTTTGCTCATCCGTTTTTTTTTTGTTTTTTTTCCATTGACATCAGTGTTCATGTCCAGCTTGAGGGACTGTTTCAGATGATTTTGATTTAATTTATACACTATAGTAATTTTATAAGATATATATATATAGCCGTAAATAACAATATACATCAAAGAAGTAACTGTGCCATTTGTTTTGTTAGTGCCCTGCATATACTTTTCAGCAAGCTTATTGTATGGTTCAATCCAGTATCTTTTTTTTTCAGTTGTTAAAGGTGTAGATATCTCAAGTTATTTATGATATATCTTAGTTTTCATTTAATTTAACCATTGCTTAGGTTTTTCCATGAATGATCCAGGAGCTGTTCATTCTAATAGATGACCAAGTTGCCAGGGAATCTTATGCCAATGTACATATGTATACGACGTCTGATCATTAGATGTACTTAGTCATTGTAGCTTTGTAATAACCAATGCATAAACAAACATGAAACAGTATGGCCCATTTGGATTCACAGAATATGCTAATGGGCAGTGTCTTCCTCATTGGCATCTTTTTTTTTTTCCTGTTCTTTTCAAAACCTAGTCTTGTTTTGTGGTTTGTTTTTTTGGTGAGATTTTAGTTTTAAATTTAACTTTTTTTTTTTAAATTAGATTTCCCCTCCCCCTTAATCTTTTTACTTTTCTATGTATTTATAGTCTTTCATTGAGACTCCTCCTCCAAGCTATGTCCTTCTGTCTCTCTTTGGTGGAGGGTAGGATGCTTTGGCATTATTGCAGCTGGTGAATGAAAATGGACTTGATACCTATACATAGGATTCATTGGTTTTGTGTGGATGGAAGGCAGTGTGTGATCCTGATGTGATAACTGGGGTGGGGGTGGGACTAAAAACCTCTTGTTTTGTTGTTGCCGATGTATTCCCAAGTGGTTGTCCATTGTAAATATTAATGTCTCATATTTCTTTGACACCTCCCCCCTCAGTTTTTTTTTTCCTTTTTTGTGGTTTGAAAGCCGCTGAAATCTGATGAGTGTTGCTGATAGGATCTTTCTTTTGTTCAGCGTCTGTTGAAGATCACTTGTGAAATACTCTTGTATTTATTGGTCTTATCAATAGATAGATATCATTCCTATCATCTCTCTGTAAGAGAATGCATGTCTTGTGTTTATCTGTGTTGCATCATTCTGAAATCATTTAAAAGTAAATTTGATGTAAGTAATTATTTCATTGACTAATAAATTTATTAAAAATCTCTGAGATTAAATTTGAAGCAGATATAATTTTAAATGTAGATCTCATTAAAAAAAATGTTTATTCATTGTCTCAATAAGGTTGCCAACTGTTTAGTTTTGTTTTATCTTAGCTATAAAGTAAATAAATTACTGAATAACATCTATGGTCATTTTTCAAAAGTTAAAATTATAAATGTGCTCTTTTTTTTTCCCCCATTCAGGTGATTGTAATTGCTTAATCTTGCACCAAATTGTAGTGGCTTGCTAAATATACAGGTTTCTTTCTAAAGTTGTATCACACATGACAGTGATTGGGAAAAGTCACATTATTATCTTTCTTTTTCCCCCTCATCTTATCACACATCCACTTGCTTATACAAAAAATGCCAAAAAAAAAACCCAACTAAAACTGCATGCCATGTTTACTTGTAGTGACTCAGTATCTATTGTGTTAATGGACCATGTAATTTTGTTGAACAAAGTCTCTGAATGAAGGTTCTTTGTGAAGTGTCATTTCAAACCTTTCGTTTTGGTTCTGTCTGATGAGTGTAAAGTGCAAGCTGGGTTTTTCTCTCCTACTTGTGATTAGAATGTTGGTAAAAAAAAATAAATTGTAAATTATTTTTGTTTTGTTTTTATGTATAATATTTTTTAATTTGACGACTGGTTGACAATAATGTAAGATACTGAGTGATGAGTAACGCTATATAAATATATATATACATATAAATAAATTGAATGCATGTGCATACTTAGTATCCAGGAATGTGTGAAAAAGTTGTTTTTTTTTCTCTAGTTACAATAAACCTTGTTACAATAAATTTTATAGGACAAAGGTTTGATTTTTCTAATTATTCAAAGATGGATAACTATGTAGCTAAACTTAAGAAGTTAAAGATGAATCAGAAAGGTGGAACTTTAAGGTGCACTGTGTAAAAAGTGATATAAAGTTTGCTAGAACAGGGATTCACTGTATTTTTATTCATATTTGTATATTGTCCTGATGCTGTTCTGTGCTATTGATTGATCTATTTAGTCATTTGTGCTTAACTCTGTTATAGCCAAGACTTGTAATGTCTGCAATACAGATCATTTCAGAATCCATTTGAAAGGATGGTGGGGGCTGCTGTTGACTTTTGTATTATCACATCATTTCCAGGACAGTTTTTTTGTCTCTTGATCTAGAAATTTAATTTACCATTTAAATAAAAGATAGAAGAAATAATTGTTAAACCACACAATTTGAGTCAATTAGAATTAATTTTGGTGGTTGGGGTGGGTCAAGATATTTACATAATAAACAATGTAAAGAAAATGAGTGGATTTTAAATGTCATTTTAGCAAATATTGCACCTCTCTGTGTATTAATTTCTTATGATATTGATATGTTTTTGTTACAATGTTCGCTTTTTGTAGGCTGAATGATTTGTGGAAAAAAAAACAACTTTCTTTTGTGGTTGCTTTTTTTTTTTTTTTTGGTCCTGGATCAAAGAAACATAAGACACTTTTTATTTGAAAACAAAAAGAAAGAAAAACAAAGACACTTGAAATAATTTTATTCCTTTGCCATTGTCTTGATCTTTGTACTTTAATTTATTGGCTGAGGTGCACATCCATCATTGGCATGGGGCGTACTACACAATGAGCTAATGCAGTTCAGAGTAATTGTACCATTTTGTGTTGATGAATACAAGTCGTAGCCTCCACAGCTTGCCTAAGCAACTCATCAACTGACATTTTTTAAAAATTTGAAGCAAATAATTATGATCCCATGTGGAAAGTGAAAAGCACCATTGAAAATAAAAGCCTTTAGAAGTAGATTATTGAATCCTTTGTTCCTTTGATGTAGGCTTACTGCCATTAAGTCAACTGAATCACATGTTGATTTGCTTGAACAAGTTGTCGAGGCCATCAGGCTGACTTGAAACAAAAGCCTCAGCACTTGTGCAATAAAAGATTGAAAACATTCTCTGGGATGAGTTTTTGTTAATCTTACCTTTACTGTTTGTTGATAAAACCATGTTTGCATTTAGTACCAGTATAGGTATTTTAATGATGTAGGTCAGTGGTCATCAAACATGCAAAATTAAAGACCTTTTTTTCTTTGCTTTAGTAAGACATTTTTATGGGGAAAAAATTTGAATTATTTAAAATTACAATCTCTAGCTTAAATAAACTAATGGTACTTAATGTTATAATAAGTTATATTATATAAGCGGTATCCTTAAAAAATACAAATACTTAACTAATGTGCATAATGGCCTTCCATTCCCTAGAAAAGTATTTAATTTTAGGTATGACTCCAAATTCCATTGATAAGCTAGTTTACTAAAAGTTCATTCCTGAAAATGATTAATTGCAATAATTAGTGTAGGCCCAACTAAAGAAAAATAAACTGCAAGAGCTCTAAATCCAGCACAAATTTTTTACTTCACCACAATTCTTTTTTTTTTTAATCCAGCAACTGCTTTTCAAAGATACCAATATCTATACCAAAGGGCCAAAAATATTTAACAGGGTTGTTCTGAAATAGCATGTCACTATTACAATTATTTTCTTGACAATATTTTACTAGTTAATGAAAAGTGAATTAGAGTTTGTCTTCACAAAGCTTTATACCAAAGTGACAATTTGTTTTCAAATGAGTAGTTTAAGCAATTATTGTTGATCAAAAAAAATGTGCTTCCTTTCTGTAGGCTTGCAGTGCACAAACATTAGATCTCTTACAAGGCCGGCTAATAAAGCATTTTATCAGTCAGCCACTGTGCCTCTTATGAAGCAGTAATCTTCAGATTTGATCAGTTTCTCAATGTTAGCGATGCAATTATTTAGTTGCATATATTTAAAGGGCTATAGTCTAATCAAACCTTATCTATGAAGACATCATGATTTGACCTGATTGCAACTATGTAATTTTCCAAGGTCCTATTTTGAAATAACGTGTTATTTGCATAATGGAATTTTTTTTCTTAAAGTGAACACCAGCAAGAAGTGGGAAATACATGTAAATAGTAAGGAACTCAACTAAACTTTGGAATGCAATGAATGTCTCTTTGTGTGTGTGTGTATATTTTATGATGAAGTATTCATATTATTAAAAATTAACAAAACAAAACACAAATCCAAAATAAAAGAAGTTAAGGCTTTGCTCGTTCAATTTTATTTTTAAAAATTCAATTTGTATGTTTCAATGGTGATACTTAAAAAAAAATATATGATGTAACAAGACTTCTACTACTTGATCAAATCAATCTTGAGGTCAAGTTAGGTCACTCATACCTCAGATTGTACAAACAGAATTAAGTATTTGGAGTGATAACAGTTACATGTAAGAACTATTTGGACCCTTTTAAAAATTCATTTGGGCCAAGACCAATGTAATTGAGTTAAAGTATAGTGTTATGATCAGCATAGAAGTTTGTGGGGGGAAAAAGTTATTTTATGAGACAGCCAGTAATATGAAGTTCTATTAATAATTACTAGAGCTAAAAAAAAAAAAATTAATTTAATTTTATGTAATCTTGGTATCAATATTGGCTAAACTGTGTGCATTGAAAAATGGTACCTGGTACTACAATATAATGTAACATTCATCTTTGTATTTCAGTCCAAAAGAAAATCTTTGAAAATAAATTGACAAGATTTTCAGTCAACTCTCTTAAGTACATCAGAGGCGCTGCAGAAATTGTGCCATTAACGAAGTTCTCTAGCATAATACAAAGCACTGTGTAACACTAGCATACAGAAAACACATAATTGCTCTATACCAATAGCAGTAACATATTTGAAAAGAAAAAGTTTCTTAAAATCATTGTATCTTGTAAAAAAAAAAAATTCATTAAATATGTTAATAATATAGGTGTACTTTGCATAGTGATAGAATAATAACAATAAAAAGTGACTGAGCATAGATATATGAACTTGTAAATGTAAATTGACTGGGAAAATATTTTAAGGACAATTATAAAAAAAAATAATTCAGGTTTATGAAACGTATTACAAAAAATAAACTTCTTAAGAAAAACTGAAAAGTTTTCTTCAATGAATTTTCATTTTGGCACATTGTATTTATCCTTCAGGCAGACTATTAAATGAGGACTAAACAAAGAAAACAAAAAATAGAACCAAGTGTTTGCATAAAAAAAAAAGGTAATGCCTATTCATAAATTTGTTAATTTCCTTTAAAGTTGTAAGAAACTCTTAAATTTATAGATATGAAAAAAAAAGGTTGGAGACATTTTTGTAGAATAATTAAAATTGTTGTGTTTACATATGGAAACAAATTTTCAGATATATGTTTGGTTGGTTAAATGTGGATCCTTCACACAGGAGGTTTATCAACAAAGTTTTCTAATGCGACAGTTCCTGTATACCAGCAGAGCAGAAAGTAACCAGCGGAACAAGATAAAATGACGAGTCCCATCCAGAAAACAATAGCCTGTGAACGCAGAGAATGAGGGTTTGTTGGGTTGATCCAAAGCATTACATAAATCTTAACTGTTCTATTTATTTCTTTTATCAATCTAAAAAAAATAAACACGGGAGACAGCTAAACCTGAGAGGAACATGAAAAAAAACAAAGAAAAGTGAAAGACAATGGTGTTTCATAGCATGTAGAAGACTAGTAGAACAAGAATTCAGCAGGATGGCCATGAACCAACTGAGGGTAATAGCAGAGATAAATAAAGAGTCCAATGGCAAAGTACTGTTGAAGCCTTATGCTCCACTGGGAGTCGAAAGGATTTAAGTCAAGTCCCATAAATTCACATTTTGCATAAACTCTTTATGACAGCAAAGAGAACTGATGACTGGATTATCTAAAACAAATTCTAACTTTAATTTTATCTTATCCTAGATGAATAATCCTTGAGATGATATACTGAAGGTAAGGGTTTAAAACTCTCTGATAGGATAAACCTTAAAGAACAATAATTATATATTTAAAATGTACCTGGGGAGATAACACTGTGGTATTATCTGCTCTGGATTTCATCTTTTTAATTTCTTTTTTAGATTTCTTCCAATCTTGCTTTCCTGTGTTAAGTAAAGAGATAGGGTTAATTACCATGGAGCATTGATCTAATAAGTGTTTTCTTTAATAATTTTAGTGAAAGAAATCTTTGTTGACAATCCATTTTAAAACAGCATTTATAAAAATTGTGGCTGTAATTAAAATTAAAAGGGTTGCCGTTCAGTTGTTCAAGACTATCTGCTGGTCAGTTGTTCAAGACTATCTTTTAAATGTTCATAAACTGCTGAAGGCAAATGTTAACAAATTTCACTATTAACTTAGTTCAGCATACCTAACTTCTACTGTTCACATGCTACAAAATGTGAGTGAGTAGTTATGACACCATCTGAACTTTGTACTTTTGTGTTTCTACATGTCACTGGCAAGACATTTACCAACCTGGAATGTTCAGCTGCACATTGGGCAAGCTATTTCCACTGGAGCTTATGTCAGTTACCTTAATATTTTTTCTTCTCTGGCACTCTTCTTCTGTCACCAAAATGCTTTCTCCTTTCAACCAATCTCACTTTCTCTCCATTCAATACAATGATACGTCAGAAATGCAATGTGCCATTTTCTAAGTAATATTTCCATTTCTATAATTTTGATTTAATAATTAACCCAATAGCTCCTACCTAGCTCTGATGCGGTGTAGGCTGCAAAGCTCTAATGCATTTGAATCTGTTGGGATGCTAACAGAAGTTTTTAAAAAACTTTCTTATAAGAAGAGCTCATCATGTCTCATGTTGAATAACAGTGTGTTGACTTTTTTTTTTTTACAGTAAAAAACGGATGTGTATTGCTTTTATTTATTTTTTTTAAATGAAGTTTTGAAAGTAGGGTGCCCATACCTCAGTGTATACACCCCACCACGAAAATTGAGTATTTTAAAACTTATTTTTATATTCTAAAGGTATTAAAATTATGTATTTTTAAAAACTAGACATATTATTCCAATTTACTAAAGTTATTTATTTATTAGTATTTCATCTTAAATTGTATTTACTACTATTTGGTTTAGACTTTTTTTTCAAAATTTAGAGTTACATGTCTTTTATTAGGGTATGTTAAGGATTTTTAAAATAAAAGCTATTGGGTCAACATATATGCTAATTTCTGAATCATTGAAGTTAATGACATTTATAATGTTAGTAAAATAAGCTTTAATTATTTTTATTTACCGATCTGCTTGCGATACTGATCTACTGGTAGACAGTGGCTGACATTTGCATCCTTTTTTCCCATTTAAATGAGATCACAATTAGAGTCTAGTTTTCAAACCACAAATTGTGGGGAAACATATCTAAACAATAAAACAGAAAATTGCAATAATAAAAGTTAACAAGTTTAAAAGAATAATATGTGGCTGTTAAGATACAAGACTCTTCAAAAATAAGCATGCCAGACACTCTTAGGTTCTATTTTATAAACACGGGTAATATTATAAATATATCATCATTATGATTATTTGATAATAGATCTTTTTCTATGTCTAGTAGATCTAATAAGTAATATATAAATTAATAAATATCTAACTGATAGTAATATGCCTATGCCTGTCATGCATTCATGGCTATCCATTTACATCTACAACTAGATTAATATTTTTTAAATACATAAACTATTAAAAGATTATTTGAGCGACAGCGCATACTAAATTAGATCAAAGCCATTCGACTAATTTTGATGCTGTAGGATCATGACTTTTTCGTTAGAAATAGCCGGCTATGTATCGAACGCTTTAGTGCCGTGTTGTCAAACATTAAGGTGAGAGGTCAAATTAATTTAAAAAGTAAACTCTTCTCTAACAAACAAAATATAAATTTCTTTTACACATAAATTGCTCTCTACATTTCTAGATCTAATTTCACCCAAAACTTCATTAGCTTTTACTTCTATAAGTAAAAATAAAGTAAACATTTTTTCTAATTTAAGGGATATCGAAACGTAGCATTTTTTTTTCGGATAGGATTTTTGTTTGTGTTGTAGAATCTAAAAAAATGTCTATGATTTAGATCAAGGTCTGGGATTATACGTAATTCTTCACTTTAAAAGTATGCTTTAGGTCCTATTTAATGAAAAAGTTGAACGTGTCGCCTGAGAGCTACAAAGTGTAAATAAAACAGCTGCTTCTCTGAGTCTCAGTTCTCTCTAAAATTTTAGATCTAGATTATCTAATAATACTGTATGAAAATGCCAGTATGTAAATTATCTACACTATTGATCTCGATCATAATCTGTTTATTTAAAAGAAAATGCACCTCAATTTTATCTTACATTTATAAGTTAGACTGGTAGATCAAGCAGACGGATCATCAGCTAGTCAAAATCATGAAAATTATTATCATCTGATCACGATGATGCAGATCATCATGAATTTATAATTTTCATATTAAATTAGATATTATGATGAATGATCATGATTCATTATCATGTCTAAGACTAAATTTCAGTTAAGAGTACTAAGACCAACTAATTATCTTTTTTATTAGATCTAGATTCTACACAAAGAAACACTGTCACTACTGTCAGTAATCATCTGATCTGGTCTTTTAAGGTGAACTTTGGCTAATCATTTTCCCCCAAACCTAGATATAACCGCTAAACCAGTTTTGCATATCCAACAATACATTACTGTCTGGGGAACAAACAACTGCCGAGCTAAGGCCAGTACCAATTTGCCTCCAATTGAGAAAATGATCTATGACTCTCTAGTCTACCAAAAAAATCAATGTCTATAAAGCAGTGGTTTTCACTACACTTTTGTATCGTGTATGGCTTTAAGACTTGGGGGTTCTATTGGCTCCTTGTACGCTTCTGCAGAAGATGCCTGAGATCAATGGTATGCAACATCTTGTACCATTTCCACCACAAACTATTATTTTGCTTTTTTCAGCACTGATTCCCATGGCAACTGTTCTAGCTGCAGTATCCAGTTTTGAAGTAAGACATTGTACCTGGTCTTTGCATTTTCTCCGATGAAGTCTATATATCATAGATATATCATCAGCAAACCTGAAATTGTTAATAGGTCACCCATTTATGGTCAAGCTAGGAGTAAATCTTTTTAGAGTTTTCATCATAATTTCCTTCAGAAATATGTTAAAAAGAGCTATAGAAATGTATTCATGCTGCACTCCTATGGATGTCCTAAAACTTTCTCCAATATGGTTGTTAAGAAGCACTGAGCTATTTGCATTTTGGTATAGGGCTTTGATAACATTGATAATATTTTTCTCTATGTTGAACTCCCTCATCACTTGTCACATGCCCTCATGCCAAACCCTGTCAAATTCTTTTTTGAAGTCTATGAAGCTGTGTACTATTTTTTTCTGGTGTTAAGGGCATTTTTTCATTTAACAGTCTGATGTTAAATATTTTATTTGCTCAACAGTGCTTAATAGCCTGTCTTTTCTTTGGAAATGACCACCTCAGTTTTTTCATGAGTTTGTTGAGAATTATTCTTAGCATTATCTGGCTCATTCTATAGTTTTGGCATTGTCTCGTTTCCTTTCTTGAGCAGTGCAATAATTAAAGATTGGGTCCATTCTTTTGGCCATGTTTGGTGAACTCATGAGTTATTTTGCCCTCAATGGCATAGAGAAAGGCTTTTCTGAAAGAATGTCTGGAGAACTCTTACAATAGTAACAGGGCATACATTTGCGACACAAATAAAAGCTCTTGTCAAGGATAGATGCAGATAGTGAAAGAGAACTTAAATAGACCTGCAGACAACAGCTTTGTCTGCCCCTGATGTGACAAATTACACGGTTGCTACTGGGTCTGTGTGATCAAGTGAAATCCAGCACAAATCCTTAATTTTAAGACTGAAAGACAATTGATTATTATTTATAATTTTTTCTTCTATTAATAATATAATATGAATTTTCTTTATTTCAGATCTGTTTCAATTGGGGGGGAGGGGGGTTATCTGGTGTTTGTTTGTTTTGTTTTGCTTTATTGGTACTTGACTGAAAATGTGTCCTGTTGTTTATTCTCCTCCAGCCTAAAGGGAAGCAAGCTACAAAAGGACAAAAACAAATAGCTGAAGAGAACCAATCAACACTTAAATTTTATCTGTATATCATAGGAGGAGTCAATGTGAGTAGTTTGGTCTTGATACAGGTCTAGACAAACTTTAAAAGGGTAGATCTAACTTTGTTTAAAAGTGGTACCTGTTCTTTTATAAAGAACAAAAAAAAAAAGGGAGGGAGATTTAAAATATTAATGGTTATTTTATACAATAAAATGATTGTTTGATTTAAATTGAACTCACATTGACTGAGCTTGAGGGAGGAGTAAATAACTGAGATCACAGTTTGTTTCTTTTTCTTAAGTAGAAATAATTTATTTTAGCTTCATGCAAACCTTTTTTTGTGTTCCTCTCAGCGTAACATTCAACATGATGGCCAAGTTAGTGGCTACCTAGTGTTCAAATAGGGTCCTGGCTCTAAATCAGAAGTAATTTTGCAAGGATTTAAATAAGAATTTAACATTTTAGGGATATAAAATGAATTTAGTCATATGAAACCTTTAAAAAAACAAAAACAATTAGTAAAAAAAAAAAACACTCCCCTCTTGCTCTAAATAAAATTGTATGCAGTCAGTTTGAAATTAACTACTTCTAAGGTTGAATATAAGCATCTGTTTATTGTTTGTTTCTTGGCCTTTTTGCAAAAATATCTCTTTAAAAAAAATGTATATATTTTTTATGTTAATATTTATAGAATGACAGTTTTAAATAACTTGAAATTTGTTATGTTTTAAAAACAAAAATATGTTCCTTGTCCTAGGAGCTTGTATGCTTACTTGATGATTTTTTTAGGTGAGCACATAATATGTAATGTTGCTGCTATTCCCAAAAAGAATGCTCTTGTTTTTATCTTTATATTCCAGATAGTATATTACAGTGTCTGGTATTTCTTTTACTGGGACTTTTTCACCATGCACCCAATTGTAAGCTGACATGTTAAAAAGATGTTGTAAAAATTTTTGTTTATCAAGTGCATGTTCTTTTTTTTTTTAACTTACTATCTCTATCACTTTTACTAAAGTAAAAAAAAAAAAAAATCTTCAAAATTGATTGAGTTCAGCTAATGAAAAATTACTGTAAAGCGTATTTACAATAACTTATTTAGAAGTTTTGTTTTGTTTTTTTGAAAAATCTTTTTTTTAACCTTTTAAACATAAGATTGCTCTGTATTTAGGAGGATATTATTTTAGAAAATGTTACCTTTAAAAATTATCTTCGCATTTAAAGTTATCAATATTTTTCTAACTTTGTGAGTGTAAATTTTTTTTTTTTCTGGCTCGCTTATTTGTTTTTACCAAGATTATAAAATATACAATTTTTATGTTTCCTAGGTTTTGTCTTTGCTGACAGCTGCAATTTACTTTGGTAGTTACAAGTTCATGTCTAATATGGCCCAATCTGTTTACCAAGATGGACATCTGGTAGATGCTGGAACTGACCTTAATATGGAATCTGGCATGGCAGAGTGAGTATAAAGTAGGATAGCATTGGGAAAAATGAATAGCCGAGGTACACCTTAAAAGATGAACACTTTATGCTTTTCTCCTTACCCCTAAGCAGTCAGCAGGAGTTCAACTAGTTTCAAACTAAACTCTTAGTAGTTTATTTCTTGGATTAAATGCCTTGGTGAGCATGAAACTGGAAGCAGCCATTAAAGTTTTGAATATCATACTAATCTGGTTTTATCCATCAAAATGCTTAGGATTGGATAGATAGGAAGACATATCATACATACATCTAATGTTTTTAATATCTTTTTCAAATTTGACTTGCAATGTCAATAAAATACTTTATTTTTAAACATTGTGTACCACTCTGCTTCGAGACATATATTAAGAATAGTTTAGTCAGCTCAAATGACTTAAAATTACTTTTAGAACGTAAATTTGAAAGTCATTGGAAGGTTTGACAGTGTCTAAAAATATGTATACACATAAAATAGAAAAAGTTAATTAAATTTAGACTAAAACTACTAGCTGGCTTGCCTTAGACAGAGCTTCATAAACATGCTGCTTGTATTAAAAGGTTAGTTTTGACACAAGAGTGCTCCTGCTTATAAAAAGTATATCAATCAATTTGTTCAAATTGTATATTTCAGACATAGCAAAGATCTAATCTTGTTGACGAGTATTGTACAAAGCTTGTCCTTATTAAGTGGATACTTTTGGCTTTTTTTGTTGCTGGTAAGTCACTGTACTGTTTATTTATTTAGGATGAAAACTACATTTAGCTTATTGTATTTTGTTTAACAATTTTAAATGTTCTTTTTGTGTAAATTTTACTTTTGCTTATTTAGCTAGCTAAAAATTTTCTGCTGTGGTGTAATCAGCTGTTTTTCTCATGCAGGCTCCCGCAAGAGTTCTACACATTTTGTGGGTTAACTTTTTAGGCCCATGGTTCTTTGCTCCTGCTGAGGAGCAGCCAGTGGACGATAAAAAACAAAAGAAACTAGAGAGAAAGATGAAACGACAGCAGATAGTCAGATGAGAAAAACTGTTTGTAGATAGAGATAGCTTTGTGTTAGATTTGTGCAAGGTGGACAAACATTGTTTTTTTTTTCATATATGTTTACAGTTTCACATTTTAAATCATTATGTAGCTAATTAATGACAACATTTTCTCAACTTTTTCATTGATGTGCCATTCAGCCCTTAATTGTAATATATTTCACTTGTCTGAGCTCATGCATGGTTTGCACAATTATTAAAGTATACTCTTAAAATGTTGAACCTTACTCTCTATGATAACAGGAAACTTCTCTTGATTATGTGCCCTGGTTCAAAACTATGTCATGTGACCAGCACAATTCCTTGCTGCCTTTACTTTTCTCTGTAGATTTAGTCTTCACCAGAGGATTCAAACTTTAGCATTTGGTTCAGCAGCCTAGCTCTTTCGCATTTCATTCACCACATCCTTTGTCATATGACCTAAGTCTGCTCTTAACATATGTTGGTCTTTTGATGTGTTGAGTATCAAATAGTTATTTAGTTTAGTAAAAACAAAATTTGTTTAGCCATCTTACAGCTTTTTTTAGGTGCCCATATAATATCTAGATATCAACTTGGCTCCCATACATTATCTGTTCTAAATACTCACTTGAACTGCCAATATAGTTGTACAGCAGCAAACACAAATTTGAAATGTGTACTAATTTAGAAAATTTCTTTTAAATATGTATTGTAAAATTGTTTTAAAACATTACTTTTCATTCCAATGATTATTACATATTATATGGACTGGATTTATATTGAATAAATAATGATAGGTAAAGTTTAGCATCATTATTGTTTTGTTATATGCGTTTTGAAGAGTTCTTCCTTCCTTACTTTGTTTGACCATAGCCTGTTCTATGCATCACCATGAAATGTTGTATGCTCTCAAGTTTGACTTTTTATCTTATTTTATGTGTGAACGAAACAAAAGTGTGTCATTAAAACATTTTTTTTTAATACTTATGCTAATCTTGTTTTTTTTAAACCTAGTTGTTTAAATGTATGTAGGTTTTTTTTCCCTTCAAAACAAAATAAATATTTAAATGTAATAATATTTTAGTCATTAGTGATATTTGTTCATATCTAAGCATGACAAAGAGCCATGAACTCAGTTAATGGAATGTACAATCACAATAAAGTTAATTGTTGTGAAGGAAGTCATGTATGGCAATCAACAAACTCTATACAGTTCTATGTGTGATACATTACTCTCAGATGTGCTTCCATCTTTGCTGATAGTTTGCTTAAGGTGGGATTATCTACATTATAAACAGCCAACCATATTAATTTAATAGATAGTAAGTTTCCCCTTTCAGACCTTGCGATCTATGGGGCAGATGATGTTATGGTCTTTGACCGACGGCTAACGAGCAGGGTGTCATGTGGCCAACACAATGACCAAATGCCTTTACTTTCCCCAAATAAAGTCAGGTACCCATTAAAGTTTTGGTGGACTCAGGGGTGCCAAAAAAAATTCATAATCTCTGTCTTCATTGAGATTTGAATCCAAGACCCCAGGCCAAGTGCTTAACCACTCAGCCACAGCAAAACAACCAAGCAAAAATGAATTTGAGAGCACACATTTCTCTATAAAAGTAAAGTTCCTTTTAGACCTTATGACCTATAGGGCAGATAATGTAAGGGTCATCTGTTCTATAGACCACAGTTTAAGAGGGTGTCATGTGACCATCACAATGACAAATTGCCTTTACTTTTTCCCAACTAATGTCAGGTACCCATTACAGCTGGGTAAACTCCAAGCCACCCTAAAGATCCAGAAATTAAAAATCCCAGTCTTCACCAGGATATGAATCCTGGAAGCCAACTGCTTTACAACTCAACAATAGCGTCTCCTCATTTCCCTATAAAGTTTCCACTAATATCTAGATCTAACAAGAGATTTTAAGACGTCTGGAATATTTTCTTTTTCATGATTTATTAAAAAATCATAAAAGTTTAATCATGTTAATGAATTTATAGCTCCTTCTTTTTGTAGTGTTGTATTTCTATTTTTGAAACTTAAAATCACACTTTTCTTTTGAGTGAAGTGCATACATTCTTCTACAACTAGTGTGTTATTCAGATAAGATAGCTTAAAAAAAGGAGTGAATTAAATTTTTGCTGGCCAGTTTACATACTCCTATATGATTTTCATTTCTCATAATTTAAAAAAAAATACTTTTTTTTCTTACAAACATTTGTAGATAATAAATAAATTATTTATAAATGAATTTTAAGGTATCTTTAAATGTTGTTTGTGATTTCATAAGTATAATTAATTTCTAATAAGAATGTCAGTGGCAGTTCTTCAGATTGTGCACTAGCAACTGTCAAAAATTGTGAATTTATATGGTATGGCCATGACACTAATTCCTCAACACTGAAAGAGACATTTCTAATGTTGCATTAGAAATAATTTAAAAAATCATCCTAACAGTATAAAATTATTTTTTATTTCCTTTGTTAGTTTTAACTTGTTTGGATGTTCCGTAAGAGTTGAAGATTGTTACATCCGCAGGACAGCAAGAGATGGGGGCAGCCATCCTGATTCAAAAAAGCAATTACTTTTTCCTCTCAATATCTATCCAAAAAAATATTAGTTTTTTTATACAAGACTGTAAGTTTAACTATATTAGCAAAGTGCAAGGAGTTAAACATACTGTACTAGTAGTACCACAACGGATATCAAAAGTCAAACTATTGACATAATGTATATCTATCAAATTGTATGTATAATATTTTGTTATTCTAAACTAATTTAGTCCTATTTATTTCACCCATTGTGTTCCTTTACTTTATTTCTTCACTGATCCACATCAAAGTGGGTCACTAAGTTTTAGAATTACAATTAAGAGAATGGATTTCCTCTGTCTAGAAATAAGGTACTTAAAGGCCCTAATAGTGTCACTTTCTACTCCTGTCTACAACATTGTGACAAATTATGGAGATTGGAACTGGGTCTGCACTCATCCTTAATGTTCAGGCACATTGTTAGCATCACATTGTATTGTATAAAAGAAACATGAGAAACAATATTTATATTAAAAAACAAACTTTTAATGCAACTGAAGTTAGTCTTAATATTTTACACCAATATCTATTGATTCATATATAAAGAGGCTGACAGAAAATTTATGATGAGCAATCGTATTTCAGTATCAACAAACAACTTACTTAATCTCACAATATGTATTGCACATTCATTCTAAACCAACTCTTCAACTGAAATCAGACAATTGTATAAATAATGAATCCATGAAACAAACACACCACAGTTATGCTACAGTTTGTGCTTGTTAATTGGAAAAAAAGCTCTGGCCATGTCCAATTTGTAGTATTTATTACATATAGTCAGAGACAAAATCTATTAGTAGTGCAATGTATTCCTTGAGTAATTTAGTTCAGTTTGTCAGAAGGGCTAGTGTTGAGTCCACTTAATGGATTTCAGATCAATTCCTTCTTGAACCATTTCCCACAAAGGACTGAAACAAATAAAGTTAAATAAAAAATACTCAGTACATTATATAAATTTACCAAGTAAAGCTTAATATTATATACATATAGTTAAGAAGTTGTTAGTTCTTAAATAAGATTCTTCATTTATTATTCATAAACTAGTATATTTTAACGAAAAATCCTCATACATACCTCATTTCACGCAACTTTTTCACATGTGAAATACATTTCTTGATGGTGAAATCAATCTCTTCATCTGTTGTGAATCTCCCAATGCCAAATCTGGACAAATGTAAGTAATTAGAAGATATATATATATATTTTTTTAAATTTATATTTAAAGTATACTAACCTGTAGTATGTTAAAACCTAGTCAATATTTACCTGATAGATGAGTGAGCCAAATCTTCATCTGTTCCGATGGCTCTCAGGACATAAGAAGGTTCCAGAGAGGCTGATGTACAGGCACTGTAAGTTAAAAGTAAAATACAATTCAAATATATACTTGATATGGCAGACATTCTGTTAGGAAAAAAATTGGTAATAAGTAGAACTAATGCTAACAGAACAGCAATTTTCATTACAACAGATATTTTATACGAATTAGAAACTCTAGAACTCTACAACAGTAGATCAACACATGAAATACATCTTCACATCCCTTCCTAACTTAATAAATTGTAAGCAATGAAGTTAAACTAAAATTTAAAAAAAAAGGGGGATCTCTAAAGCTTTTGGTGCATTTGATGTAAAATGTTATTTATAAATTTCATTCAGTATTTTCCCATACGTATTGACCGTCATTGTCAAGTTTTCACTACTAATTATGCCATCATATCGTGCACTGTTCTCACAGACAGCTGGTAATAAAAATATGTGTTAAAATTTTTTTTTAAATAGTAAATTTTTAAAAAATAATTGGATTTCATTAAGAAACTAATCTATGCACATTTAATGGACAAATGTCAACAAGAGAGAGGACAATCTTCTTAATATTTAAAAAAAAATTGAATTAGGTTTAGTAATCATGTACATAAATTGTGCAACATTTCTGAGTGGCTGTACTCTAAATGTGAATATGTTCTAACCTTCCTGATGACAAAGCAACATCTTTCAAGGCCATAAGGAGGCTTTCACCTTCCACGTAAGCAAAAGATAGATTTACACAACCTATGTAAATACAAACACAAGATTCAGCTAATACAATAAATACTAAAAGTGTATCACAAATAAAATAATAATCAATAGTAGTGGTATTTCAAAATACTTGTCTTAGGTTATATCTCTGTACATCTATATATTTTTTTTCTTTAAAAATCAAAATAGATTTTTTTTTTTTTTGTAATTATAACAAAAGAGCCATGAACTCAGTTAATGGAATGTACACTCACAATAAAGTTAGTCAAGTTAATTGTGAAAGAAGTCATGTATGTAAGTCAACAAACTCTACAGTTCTATGTGTGATACATAACTCTCGGAATAGTTTCAATCTATGCTCATAGTTGGCATATAAAAAAATGTGTAAAATGCGAATGCTAAGTAGATATATGCTAGGACAAACTTTTACAAGTGCTCCTTCTTTTCTAGTGACATTAGAGCAGGGATCAGGGTGCCATAGTTAGTAAAAAAAAAAAAAAAATAATAATAATAACTAAGTAAAGTTCAAGTCTCAAACTAACATACTTAACTAGATTTAGACAATGATACACATAGTATCTTTTTTTTTTATTTGAGGGATAGTCTGTAATTTATAAGATAAGCGTTTTATTGAACTGAATGTATCTTAGTTGCCTGTACCTGGATAAGTATTCTCAGGGTCACCATTTCTGATCACCTTAGGACAAGCTTCCATGATGCTGTGAACCAGTCTATTTGAAAGTGATTTAATCCTCTTGCTGTCATACTGTCAGGAAAAAACATTAGAAATATCAGAATTGCATTTTTTGTTTCCTTATTTTAAAATTAGTAAATGAATTTGTCATTTGAAAGTCTATGTTATGTCAAAGCAATAGTAAAAGTTTTAGTAATTGAACCTTTTTTTTTTAAGACAAGGTTTCACCCAATTTAATATTTTCATTTATGTTTAGTTGGCCCTTCCAGAAGCTTCAAGGGAAAAGAAAATAAGCCAACCTAACAGAAAACAAATAGCTATACAAAACAATCGACACTTAACAGTTGGGAAAAGTAGGTACTGGATAGATCCACTCGTAGAGCATACATAACGGAAGGGTCCTCGATTTACGATGGCATACACACCAGAAGTAGAAAGAAGGGCAAAACAATGCTTGGTGATTATAGTTGCCCAACCTGTTTGTACCTTTAGTGCATGAGAAGTTGCAAAGGGAAAAGATTGTCTCTCAAGATGTAAAATGCCATACAAATGAAACATAAAAGGATACAAACACAAAATTACCTTCACGACAAAGAAATATATTAAAAAACTTGCCTCCATTTCTTCTTGAGCCAGCTCACATGCAGCGCCGATGCCAACTACCAAGGGAGTCGGAACTGTGCCACTTCGCATTCCTCTTTCCTGGCCGCCTCCGCTTTGGA